ATGACTTTTTTTTTTCAGTGTCTCAGCGCTAAAAACTGAACTAACCATGTCCTCTTTGCAGCTTCGCAGAAAAGTCTCTCTGCTGTGCTTTATTCACAAAATCTACTACCACATTCCCGACCTCAAAACCACTTTGTTATTACCCCCCGACCGAACATCTTCTCGCCTCAACAATGTCTGCACCATCAAGCACATTTCTGACTCTACTAACGCTTTCAATTGGTCATTCCTTTCTCAAGCCATCAGCCACTGGAACAGTCCCCCATCCTCCATTGTCACCATCTTGGACCCTGCTGATTTCTCCTCTGCAGTAAAACTGCACCTTTCTTGGCCCATGTGATGGTGTGCGGGGCTAAGCAGATAGGTGAAAACCCTTACGCAAAGCGCCTGCCGGGCCAGACTTGTACGTAGTTCAACTACTTTACTCAAGTTACTGTAGTTTAACTACTTTTCTGGGTAGTTTAGTAACTTTTAATTACATTTATATTCTAGTAATTCGTAGTTTACTTTAACTACTTTTCCGAGTGACTTCCACTCAAATTACAAATTACTTTCTAATTTTAGTGGTTGTTTTGCCTATCAACACAGAAAAGATGTCGGAAGGTCAGCTGATATTTGCAGAGGGGGAAGCATGCGGAGTAGAAAAGGGGGGGATGGGAAGGAAGAAAGTGATTTAGATAGCCCAAAAAACCCCAAAATTTTAACGAGCCCCCCCACTGCAACAACACTGCTACGAGGCGCGGGGAGCGAACAGACACGACGCAAGAGAGGTCGAGTAACTGTGGGATTAGCTCCGCATAGTGGCGTTTCTTTGTATTCCGAAGCTCAAGGAGACTTGACGCATTTGAAGAAAGGGCTTGTCCCCGCTTCTCTCCAATGTAGGAATTCTTGCCCACTACAGGAGGTGCACACACTGCTCCTTTTACGGTGCAGGCGATAGAACCCCTAACAACGACGCTCACGCCGGATGGGCTGCTCGTGTATGACTCGAAGCGCGTTAACCCACCCCCGCGCCTGCGTTCACGCCGCTTCGCGGTGACGGTGTGCGGCTGCTAATTACAAATCTATTAACCCACCTAGCCCCCCCTACCCCTCGTACACGCCGCTTTGCGGCGTCCGGTCGGCAACCCAAGCCCCGCCGCCCCCCATGCACCTCCGTAAATAGAGTCGATACGATCTAGTTTAGCGATGTTTCGTCAACAACATTCGTTTTTTTTAGTGTTAATGGTAAAAAAGAAATGTAAATATCGCCAAATGCCTCGACAAAACAAAATGTTCGAGAAAAAAAAATAAAAAGAAGTAAGCCGGCCCACACCATAAATAGAACCCGGGTCTGACACGTATGAGGCAGACATCTCACCACTAAGTTACGCTACCTCTTCGGAAACTCGCATTGCATCCGCTGCCTATGTTGACGGCGGCAGCGCCTATCTCCAAGCAAGCAATTGGCAAAACTTTATTTTGTGTAAGGGCCTACGTCCTGGTCTGGACGGCCCGTCCGGCCCATGTCTTGCGGATGGATTCCGTTAGGTTACCGTGTAGCCTTGTTCGTGGGGCAAGGCTCCACAAACCAGCCAATCCGGCGTGCGTGAGCACCGTTGCTAGGGTTTGTATCGCCTGCGCGTTCAAAATATGCCCGCGCGGGTCGGGGGGCAGTGCCCTTGGTATTCCTTGGGCGCCGCCGGCCTGTGTCTGCTCTGCCCAGTGGCGGCCGTTTCAGGGGGGGCAAAACGCATGCCTTGCCCCCCCACTCTGAGAACTGGGGGGGCAAGTGCCCCCCTTGCCCCCCCGGTTGGTACGCCCACGTTAAAAGGACGAATATTAAGATAACCTTCGAGTCAGTAGAGGACAGTATGCGGAGAACAAGTCGTCTGCTGCTTGCGTAGGAATTGCGGTGACGTCTAAACGACGCCGACCTCTGATTGGATTTGATTGAAAGGGTGGTGGGTATACCTCAATACTAGACGCTGTGAGGTCTACCTCCCTTTGTTTTTCAATCAGCCAGTAAGAGCTCGGCGTTCTGCAATCATCGCAACACCTGTGCAAGAAGCAGAAGAAATTACGCTCCGCGTATACGAGCCGCATCAGTCAACCCAGAGCTGTGAAGGTATCGCGTGATGACGCGCCTCACGCATTGCTGCATCCCTCCAGAAGATCACGTGACACTCACATCAAATACGATATAGCTTCGCCAATACTGGAAACTCCTCCGCAAACACATAGGAGCGGCGGCGAACGTGACAGTGGCGCCTCTAGCGGACTCGGAGTCTACGGAAGCAGTCGTCGCAATGGAAAAGTATAGGCTCCGCGACGTCCTCGAGCTTTACAAGCCCCGTATCGTCACCCTAACAGCAGAAACAATTTATTACGGTCAGTTCGCTTGCAAAGCGGAATCCACTGATCGCAACTGCAACGACAATCGAATAACAACGCGCGCATAACCAAAGATAGAGCAGTTTATTTAGCGGTCTCAAACGCCTCTCAGGGGATCACACGCGTTTGAAACGCGTCTGGGAAGCGGAAAAAAAAGGCGTTTAGCTACTCGAACTACGTCGTAATCGTTAAAACATGCAAAAACGACATGTTTATATTACCAGAGCAAGCGCACGAGCTGCTGGAGCATAAAAACAAAACAAAAAGTAAGGATAAAATGAACGTGCAAACACTTACCGAACTTTGCAGAAAAAATGGTGTCGCCATCCCCGACGAAAATAAGAAGAAACGGGAAAGAGAAGCGAACAACGGCGAATAAAACAAAGAAGCTAGCAAAAAATTATTTCAACGACGACGATCGTTGCGGCGCTTATAGAAAAAAAGAAAGAAAAATGGAAAGCAGCAAATGAATAGCTGGTGGTCGCCACCGGTGTTGAGTTCACGACAAACAAAGCGGAAGCAACAGACGAAACTAATGAAAAAAGAAGAAAGCGACCCTTTTTTTTTTCAGCTGCTTGTTGTACATTTCTTTATTTGCTTTCGCGGCGTAGGTACGAACTAAAAACAAAACAGGGGAAATAAATAACGTAGTGCAGCTCACACTGCCCGGTAAAAAAGAGTCGCAGAAATGTTTTGGTCGCAAGCAGCAATCTTCTATATGTGCTAGCAGTGAGTAACCTTTTTTTGCTTTCGAATTTCCTTTTCCAGTGACTTTGGCGGGTTGTTCGTTCGCTCGCTTGACGAAGCAGTTTAAAAGTGCATTCAAGTACTTGTTGACGTAGGTGTCCGTAGGTTGACGTGGGAAGCAGAAGATTTTCCACCACATCGCACAAACTTGTTCTTGCAATGGTAGGCACCACATCGCACAAACTTGTTCTGGAATGCGGCCGGTTGATCAACAAACGATGACCCGTAGCAGACGTGCCGGCCGGAGTACACAAATAAAATTCGAATAAAAATGGATAACGAGCGTACACTTCTTAATATATTTAATAAATATCAAAAAGCACGTAAGACGATTTTGGATTAGAAACTCAATCGAAGGCGAAAATAGGAGGTTATCGCAGACGACAGTGAAAGAAAACAACAACGACAACAGCAAAACTGCAGACGGCCCTCAAAATGCCCGGGCCTACCGCAGACGAACCGGGGGCAGTAAGCGCCGAAGCGAAGGAAAGTGAGTAAAAATTAAGCCAAACAAAGCAAGGATACGCGATAGTTTCCACGTCGGGCAAAAAAAAAAAAAAAAAAGAAAAAAAAATATACACAGCAGGAGGAAGAAATAACGCGGCAGAGTGGAGTCGCCTAAAAAATATAAAAGAAAGACGACTCAAAAATGGAAAGAATGGAGACGGTTCAACGGGTGTCGGCCTTTATCGTAGAAGTAAAGAAGCAGCGAAGCAGAAGATGTTGGTCGTCCCCGCGTTAACAATCGGAATTTGTGCACTGTAAATAATGTGACTGAAATCACCTTTTTTCGCCGGAGCTACGACGCTCTCCCCTTCTTTCTTTGCAAGCGCGAGAAGTCTGCTTTTTTCGTAACTCCGCTTTTGTTAATCTATAATCGCGTCAGATTTGCATATGCACAACGACTTCTTTCGGAGAATACTGACATCGGCGTAACGTACGTGGTTCGAAATTGACTTCTGCTTCTTCATCCGGAGACGATCTTAACGCGAATAGCCAGCTCGCCTGTTCGACGAAACGGTTATAAGCAAGACATTTATGAGAAATGGGAATTGAAACAACAAAACAAATTGACTGATAAGAACAATAAAGTTGAAACGAAGCTATGTTCTGAAATGTTTATACATTCCCCTTTTTCACGAAACAGCGCGAAGGCATTGCTTGGCTTACATAAGTTGTGACAGAATGTTTTCTTCGGGAGAACTCCGAAATTGCACCCAGAAAGCTGTAACATCTTTCCCACGCGAAGAGAATGTCCTTCACTCATGAGCTGGCACCCATTTTTTAACTTTCAAAGCAGCGAATGTCCGTGACAATTTTTTTTCGTTGGTCACCTCGCACGGAGATAGGCAAAACCAATGCATTTCGGAGAATTTGTCTGCCAGCGGAGACTCCGAGCTCGCCAGGGGCGCTGCAATCACTTTTCGCCCGTTTTCCGCGGGAGTTGCCAGTATTGACTTGTAGGGGTATTGTAAGGCGAAAGGAAGCGTATTTATCGTAGTCCAGGTCTCAGCAGGTTGGTAAAAACGGAAGCAGACCGCAGAAGATTTTTACGCGCTGACATCGGTGGTCTTGAGGGAAAGAACGAGAAAGAAAGTGACGGAAGGCCGGAAAAAGCACACGAATTCTGACGCCTTTCGTTGGCAGAGGGACGCCGTGTGTAGCGATTTCCACTTCTTGATTTGTAAATTTTTACTGAGGCAAGTTTGTTCGATGAAATTTTGATGCACAGGATCCACCACCTTGACTCCACCTCTGCGGTAAATCCTAGCGCGATACGTTAAGGAACCGATTTATGCGGTTCATTCAAACAGCCGACGATCCGTTTGACCTACGCGGTAGATGTAATGCATCAACTCCGTGGGTCTCGGTGTGCTCACCCTGACGTTCATGAAGCGCAAGACCTGCCTCTTGCCGGCCACGTCCTGGGCGTAGAGTTCGAGCCTGTTCTTGCGTCCGTCCACGCTGAGGCCGAACTGCGGCGAGCCGGCCACGTCCGTGACGCGCACCAGGAACCAGGGGTCCCTCCGGGTGTTTCGCTTGCGGAACGTGGTCACGAAAGAGAACTCTTCGGGCAGGCCCAGAGGGAAGATGGCCCTGGAACGAGGGGAGCTCATTCGCGACTCCAGCAACTTGTAGAGGTCGCCACTTCTCGACAAGTATGGCGGCCAGATGTACAACAGGTCGTGTCGTGTCATATATGGCGGATTAACGTACAATGTTCTTGTAAGTATTGGCTTCAAGTTTGCCCGGATTTTTATCCATTACGTTAAACACATGAAGTGGTATGTTGGCGCGAGCCAGCTCACATCTATGAATTAGGGGTTGAGCCTTTTTTGGGGAAGCAATGTCCTTCTACCGCGTTAATGAACGTTGATAAACGTGCAATGTCTGGTTCGCGCGGCTGCGTAAGCTCCGTTCAGATCGATTTTGGCAACACGCTGATACAACAATAATGACAGAGTCACCCGCTGGGACGACTGTTCGCCCTGTACCGCATGAGAAGCAATTCAAGGTGCACCCAATTTGTTAGGCCGTTACGAGTCACGATTTCTCCTGCGGCCCTGTCGTTGGTGCCGTTTTTCGTTGCTGTAGACACAACCAACGCAACCCTCTCCGCTTTATTTCGGAGGCCTTCGTGCCAACCGCCGACAACATGCAGTCACGGAAGCCACGAGAGACGAGCAGAGATCGCGAATGGACCTGTTCCGGCCAGTTCAGTTTTTTTTCCCTCTAGGTGCCGTCCGTTTTGTTGGAGTTGAGACCCCCTAGAGAGAAATCCGTATTTCGGAATTCTCTATAGTACTCCACTTACGCAGCGCCAGCGCGTGCGGCACATTTAGGGTTCTGTATTTCGCGTAAATCCGATAAACTCTGAAAAATCGCTCGCCGGTAAAATGTTCGGTCATTCGGATTTATCCGAAAAATTCCGAATTTTGAGAATGGCAAAATAAAAGAAAAAAATACGGTATTTCACGAGTAAATTTTGCCAGATCACAGAGTTAGCAATCTATAATGAAAGGCAAATTCAGTTTTCCCCCTTAACTCGGACAAAAGAGAGTTTATCTCGTCAATGTTCATACAGTACAATGGGTCAACGTGCTTCCGGACCACGACAAGAACCGCTGTTCTAGTTTCCAGTTCGGTTCAGTTTGTGCTTCTTAAAGAGAGGAGGGATTTTTTTTTTTATTACAGTGAACCTGTGAACCTGTAAGATTTCATAGGATGGGAAGCGCAGCTGAATACGTAATGCGTCCAGGAGTTTGGCTATTTCAAAGTACCGGCATTTATTGAAGTAACACCTGTTTTCAAGATTTGTCGTGGGACAGTCAGTCCTGCAAGTCTTAA